TGTTTATTCCTCTTGTGATCGTTACTTGGACTCTAGGTCCACTTTATTATTTGTTTACGATACTTACATTTGCGGGATATAAAAATCAACAACACTAAGGAACACTCTTCGGAGTACAAGATCTCTTTTGCTCACTTTTTTTTTTTTATCATTATAACCACTCTTAATTTCCTTGTTTCTTCGATTAAGTCTAGCCCATCACAAAGTTCCTCATCTTGATCATTGCTGAAATGTGAAAGTCCAAAACTATGGCATTCCCACTTCTAAGGGAAATGTCATTTCTCTAGTGCTAGTTCGGAAGGTGGTACAACAAGACAAAAGTACACTAGGGAGTTCGTCCATTCAAGCACCTTTTAGTTTGTTGAGAAAAGTTTTCAGGGTATGTTTGATGATTTTATTGACGATCTCAACTTGACTATTGTAGAGAGTGGAGAAGTGTTTCTTGATTTTTAATTCCTTACAAACGGACCTCAACCTCGAGTTAATGAATTGTTTGACGTTGTATTAACAGTTGAATGCCGAATGTCGAATTTGCATATGATGGACTTCTAAATGAAGTCGATGGTCTTTTACTATGCTATCTTTGCCAAAAGCTCGACCTTAGCCCATTTGGTGGAATAGTCCGACGTAACTATAACGAACATTGTTCCGTCTTTACCAGTATACATCGGTCTGATCAAATCAATTCTCTATTTGTCAAGGCCTAGAGACTTATAATTTAGGTTATCTTTTTAAGTGGAGCTCGAATTATTGGGACAATACTTCGACTTTTTTGGTACCGACTCACGAATTTTATGACATCTTTTTTGAATTTAGGCTAGAAGAAACATTTCCTTACGATCTTGTAGGTCAAAGATGGTCATCCAGCATGGATTCCATAATCCAATTCAAATATACAACATACTAGCACTGCACAAAATTCAAAATTTTCATTTTGTCTTGAATAATTTGCCCTATGTAACAACTATTATTTTGAGAAAATTGAATTTGAGGTAGTGAATTTTTTGGATAATATGTGATTAAAAAATAAATAAAAGTTTTAAATTTATGTAAAAAATATTTTATTGTGTAAAGGTGTGGTTAAAAATAAATTAAAAAATTTTGAAAAATGCAAGGGCTTAACAATGCATAAGCATGCTCACTGATACTACGTGGCGTTTGGATCTCCCACAGAAAATGTCTAAACAATTGAGAACCAGTACGGACATATAAAAAATTTCCCTGTCAATATCAAAAGTCTACCCATAAATACTCTCAGGCGCTCTACGCTCTCGTGTTGCTACTCTTTCGCTAAAATCTCAAAACCACACATCGATTCAATCGTATACCAGATCTGATCTCATTCACAAATGGCGAAAGATCCAATCCGTGTTCTTGTCACCGGCGCCGCAGGTAAATCGGAAACTTGATTATACTAAAGTTACCGTTCATTTCGAGATCTACCTTTACTATTCCAGTCATTTGATCATCATTTTCTGTTTAATTGATGTGTAGATCTGATGTTATGATCGTTATTTTTTATATTATAAGATGGTTATTAGGATCCGAGGTAGCTATTAGAGTTCGTGGCTTTGTTTCGATTTGAAAGTGGTGGTTTGACCATTGTACAGTAATATTAATGAAGCCTTATTTTATGGTTATTCTGATAGTTTCGTGATATATTATTTTCTATTAATATTCTAAGTAGTTACAATAATGCTGCGTAGCTTTGTTTCAATGTAAATGTTGTTTTTTGCCTATTACAGTTAAATTTATCCTCTGACGGAGCCTTATCTTATGTTGATGATTTATATGGATCTTTGAATCTAATAGTTTCTGAATATTGTTGTATGGATTTAATTTTTCTATTGATATAGATAGAATATGCCTATGGATAACCATCGGTTCTACTGTAAAAGCCAGATCTTCAATTTGGTAGTGGAGTGAGATTTATCTAGGGTTTATGGGGTATGAGTATCAAACTGGGTATCTTAGGAAATCCAGTGAAGTTGTCTATGTTACATGGTTGAGTGTCAGTGGTTTTTGTTTAAGTTTCTGAATCAATTTATTTTTCTAGGATTTTAAATCTATATTACCTCTAGAACTAGATTGATGGAAGCTGGCTAATTTTGCAGGACAAATCGGATATGCTCTTGTTCCCATGATTGCTAGGGGTGTGATGTTGGGCGCTGACCAACCTGTCATCCTCCACATGCTAGATATTCCACCTGCTGCAGAGGCACTTAATGGAGTGAAAATGGAATTGGTCGATGCTGCATTCCCTCTTCTCAAAGGTTAGTAATTTACTCATGAGTAGTGAAAACAATTGTCAATAATTTGATGTATTTTGACTTTTTATATTCCCAATGGGATATGGGTTAAAGTAGATAACTTGTATCTATCTACTATGATATTTGAATCAGGGGTTGTTGCAACAACTGATGTTGTTGAAGCATGCACTGGAGTCAACATTGCAGTGATGGTTGGTGGTTTCCCCAGGAAAGAAGGCATGGAGAGAAAAGATGTGATGTCAAAGAATGTCTCCATCTACAAGTCCCAGGCTTCAGCTCTTGAGAAACATGCGGCTGCCAACTGCAAGGTGATTGGCTTATATTGAAGACTCTTTTCTTGATGACCTTTTTTCATAGAATAGTGTTATTTACATAGACTCGTGATCATTATGAGTTAGGTGGCAATTAAGTGGCATTGACTGATATTCCATCTCAAATGCAAGGATATGAATCCCATTTATGATGGGAAGTCGATGAATGCCACTCAATTTCCACCTAGATAAATAGCATTTCTCTTTTTTATAATCCTTACATTGATTTGGTACATGAAGTACTAAAGTCTTGTCTAATTTTAGAAATAAATACATTTTCTATGGTATGTGACCTTCAAAAGCACAATGCTGACCAATATTATTTAGAGATTATGAAGTATCAATATATTGTTTGAATGCTATGCATGACCTCTATGAAGATTCATGTTCAAGCTTAGACATCTTAGCAATTTACAATTTTGTAGCAGGATATTTTTTTACTTCTCTTAGAAGTCCTAATTTTCATTTGCTGTCTGTTTTGCTTCCAGGTTTTGGTCGTTGCTAACCCTGCCAACACCAATGCATTGATACTGAAGGAATTTGCACCATCTATCCCGGAGAAGAATATTACTTGTCTGACTAGATTGGATCACAATAGGGCTCTTGGACAAATTTCGGAGAGATTGAATGTTCAAGTGTCCGATGTTAAAAATGTCATTATTTGGGGAAATCATTCTTCAACACAATATCCTGATGTCAACCATGCCACTGTCAATACTCCTGCAGGAGAGAAACCCGTTCGTGAGCTTGTTGCCAATGATGAATGGTATGAAGCTTTGGTTAAAACTTGGTTTTTATTGAAATGAATTTGTGTTTCTATAAATTCCCTATGAAATACTTTTATCTTTTATGAAATCTCACCTTTTATTTTCTAAATTCTATGTATCTATTTGCTAGGTTGAATAGTGAGTTTATTACTACTGTCCAGCAACGTGGTGCTGCAATTATCAAAGCTAGAAAACTTTCTAGTGCACTCTCTGCTGCTAGTTCTGCTTGTGACCATATTCGTGATTGGTTCCTTGGAACTCCAGGGGTAGATTTCTCTCCCCCCGCACCCATAATTGTGATAGATCAAGATTTATTAAATAGTCATACACTTTCTCTAATATGTTCTGAAATAATTCCAGGGTACTTGGGTTTCCATGGGTGTTTACTCTGATGGCTCATATAATGTCCCAACTGGGCTAATTTATTCCTTCCCAGTTACTTGCAAGAATGGAGAATGGTCTATTGTTCAAGGTGAGAACATAAAAACTTAAATTCGTTGTCTTTATTTAGATTGTGTGGCGTGCGAACAGTTAAAAGCGTTCAAATGAGTAGGTATAGGATTTTTTCTGCAATCCCTTTCTAGCATCGGTGGTGGTATGAATTCTCATTTTGTAAAAATCTTGACTTTTTAAATTTGGATGTCTTTCTGTCTTTTAGTAACATCCCACAAATCTTGTTATTACAAGACTCTGGTAGGACATCTATTTTCCAACATCCTCAGTATTTGTGTGTTTTCTACATTACAGGACTTTCAATTGACGAGTTTTCGAGGAATAAGTTGGACTTGACAGCTAAAGAGCTCAGTGAGGAGAAAGATCTTGCATACTCATGTCTCTCGTGAGTTCTGTCTGAAGGTTGGAAAATCAGAGTCTTCTGCACTTTTGTGTGTGATTAAAGTAGCTACTGTTTTGAATAATTCCATTGTCAATCTTGGCGATTGATAAACGATGGATGTGCTACTTTTATAGATCTCACTTCCTATGTACTTGCATTTTGTTTGAGAATATTTACAATTTTGCACTTTCTGGTCACGGCGGATTTTATTGCCTTGGTGGTATTACTGTATGACTGTCCTAGAGAAATTTCTGATCGAGAAAGTTTTTCTCTTGCCTCTATCAATGTTCTTGATTTCGAGTCCTCGGCCTGTGCCCACCTCTTTATTTCCAGGAAGTGATTTTTTTTTTTTTCGAGAGGTATCTAATGCAAGTTTGTTCAACTGTTCATTGGACTGCAGAATTGTTTACGTGACGAATATGATTTGGCAATGGCCACTTGTACGTGAAAAACATACATTCCGGTACACCAAATAGGCTTAATTGTGCTAATATCGTTAAACAAATGACAGAACAATGTGCAAAAAATTGTACTCACAAAAATATTTGTGAAAATGGATTTATGTTTTTTGGACAAATAGACTTCACCATTCAATTTCGTATATCTAAATTGAAAGGGCAAGAAATATTGAACGGGATTTGAGTATGCATTTGGATTGCTGGAGGCTGCACTTTTTGAGATCTGTGTAATGTACAATGCCATTTGTACATTTCAATGCTTACACCTCTGTTGACATTTTCCTTGTTGTAAAAGTGATTGGTTGATTTTGTTTTTTTTTTTATTTTAAATGTCAAATTATAATTTGCCATACGGTAACGTGTAAATCATGGTCTATAATACGCCTGTCATTGAGAGCTTGTTTGGGAGGGATTTTAATTTAATTAAAACTGAAAATATAGTCGTTATTGAGTCTCACTCGTCTGATAAAATTCAAGAATAATGACTAGTTTTTCAATTTTAATCTGATTTTAATCTCTACCAAACAAACTCTGAATTCATCTAATCTACAACTATTGGTTGTACAATCGATCATCACCGTCCCTAGTTTCCAATCGAGGGCAATGACGTTTATTCTGCAAATCAAATATGTAAATCATTTGATTAGATTGTACAATTTCTTTCAGAATTCTTGTATTAATACATTGAAATGATTATTCTGGAACAATAATTGTCTGTTATCTTTATCATTTTCAAGCCATTTTTTATTTTCGATTTTTTAAACAGTAAAAATACATTTTCTTTCCTATTTTCAAAAACGCGTTTCTGAAAACAAGTTAAAAATTTACAAAGAAAATTTTCAAAATGCATTTTTGGTATTTTCAAAATGCCAAAAAGAACACATTTTTAACAATATCAAAATGAACACTTAAAACACAAAACTCAAAATGAATTCAAAACTCAAAACACAAAATTGAAACACAAAAAGAACGGCCATTAATATTCTCTGAAATATATTGAAGTTTATTACACACATAAATTTTGTAAAGTATAATTATTTTTTCTTGAGGAGAAACAACAGAAGGGTCCGTTTGATTGTAAATGTGGAAAATGGGTGAAAAGAAAATATTTTACTGGGAATTGTAATTAATTGTATTTGATTGGTATAATTTTCCACCTGTAAAATGTTGAAAATTTGGTGTCCGTTTGACTTCTTTTTTATGGAAATTGTCCATTAAAATGATAAATTTTTCTACCATTGCGTCTAGAATTTCTTCCAATTCAAAAAGTCAAAAAAAAAATTAAAAATTAGAAAAAATTACCATATCGAATAACATTCGTTTGACTTTGTT